CCCCCCCCCCCCCCCCCGGGCCGACCCCGGGAATTTGAACTTTTTGAAATTTGATCAAATTCTCCACCCCCTGTGCAAAAAATGTCTTCAAATGCACCACTGTAACAAGAAATTAAGCGTTCAAATGCCCCACCTTCATATGAAAATTATAAAACAGTAAACACGAAAAGTACAAAATATACGGAAATGTTTTTCGACAAGATAGCGAAATTCACATAAAAAGTTTGGATACTTTTTGGAAATTTAACAGTTTTACACAATTATGTAGTACATATCTTCAAATGAAGCACATAGATTTTCCATGCCCGCTTCTTTGAGCCAGTTTTTCCCAAAATTGAGGCCATTTCCCTTGAAACCTGAGGTTTTCTGTGCATGCAGGAAGCACGCGAAAACGGGCAAAATTTTAAGACTTCCGGTTCAAATTCCCCACCCCGTTATCAAATGCCCCACCACGTGGAAGACCTATAACGTCAAATTCCCTACTCCCTGGAGAAGACTTGAAGTCAATTTCCCGGGGTATGCCGGGGGGGGGGGGGCGGATGAAATCAGGAAAGGTGGTGCAGGTTATTTGAGCATATTTTTGTTGTTGCTCAGCGTGGCTTGACAGTATCCCACCCACCCCAGCCCTTTTATGTTTATTAGTAGAGAGTAGGGGAGCAGAACGGTTTTGGACTGGGTATATGTACTTGTTATAGTGATTATGTAGTGAGTAATTGTAATGTATGGTAGTTTAATAAATGTCAAGCTTGCGGCTGACGCTGCAGCAGCTCCCAGCGGTGTGTGAGAACTCACACTTTCATTGTAGAGGTTAAGATTTGAATTCTACTAGCACTATCTCTGACTGCCTTAGTATGCATCTGATTGGTTATAATGGTTGATGGAATATATCAAATGCATTTGATGGTCCCTTAATGGTAATGGTAATGGTAGTCAAATCTGAACCTCTATAATGTCAATGAAGAATGCATACCGGAAAAGTATCAAGTTAAATTTTAATTGTCAATGTTGTGGAAAGTAAATAAATCAAACAATTCTGTTTGTTTCAACTACCGGTAACTAGTTCACTATTACTTTGGTTTTCAAATCAAAGAATCTTTAGCCTGGTTGAGCTTTTGAAAAAGTAGCTACTTTATTGAACGCAAGATTATTTTACTCTGTCTAACACCAGACAATTTCACTCGTCAACGGGAAAGTGCTGCCACTCAGTGAACTCAATCAGAGCTCAATGAGCAGCAGCACTCTCCCTCGATAAGTAAAATCATCTGGCATTAGATGAAGTGAAATAAACTAGTAAAGTAGGGTGCATTGGGGCACAATGCAGCTTACTGGGTTAACTGGAAAATATATTTATTTAAACAATACACACCCTATACTTGTATTTCAATTCATAGCATGATTTGCTATGCTTATGTCTATTTGACCCAAGTACCAGACAGGAATGATATTTGAATCACACCTGTATTCATTGAACAAAGCTAATTTAAATGTGCATTAATTGTACATGAATCATGTAAATGTAAAAACTAGAGCAAAAACACACCCACACAGCTTTGTTTTTTCTTGAGAAGGAATAACTGAGTTACAATGAGACCAGTATCAACAATTTCAAAAAGGTATTGTACAAAAATATTACAAACATAAGACACTTTAAAGACAGAAAACACACAAAGTATGTCACTACAGAAACTGTATTCTGTGATATAGACGATATTGCTTTAAGGAAACTTGCAGCTCTTAAGGGCCTGTTTATATCGAAACTGGCTGGCCCGCTAAGTGAGACAGCCCGGTAAGTGAGATCTCGCTGTCTACTTATTTTTATAGTAATAATTATAATTAAAATTGTTTCTATGTACAAGCGGGAGGCCCGGTTGCAGAGACCAGGATGAAAATTTCTCCATATAAACAATCACAAGCAGGCCAGCCCGGTTGCCAGGATGAAAGTTCAACGATACTGCTGCAAGCTATTTTTAACAACTGTCAAAACAACAAAATTGTCCCGGTAAGCGGGACGAAATTTTCTCAAATAAACACAAGAGAAATCATCCTGCTTATCTACCTTACTGGGCTGTCTTGCTAAGCGGGCAGCCCGGCTTCCATACAAACAGGCCCTAACAGTCTCTGTCAGGCAATTACAATGTTCTAATGTCCAAACTCTAAAGTATTACAAACAAGCAGGACAGACCACTTATTGCAAGTTGCTAGTATTAAAGTCATATCAACATGTGATATCGACATTACAGTGTATAAACTAAAGTAATTCAGCTTCTACACATGAAGCAACTTTAAACACTATCCTTACACTTTATCAATTCATTAAAGTTTGTCATTCTATTTGTAGTATTACATCACAAGACATATTCTATTTGTAGTATCAAGTCACAGGATTTTATAATCTAGCGTTTTTGGACCCAAGTGATCTAGAGTTCTATCTTGTTAAAACCTATCCAAGGAAAAACAAGAAAGGGATATTGAAGTAATGGTGTTTTTGAGCCAAATAAATTCGAATATCCACCAGTATAAAAGCAGTACTCCGTATATACTGGAGACAAAATGGCATCATAGCGAACACATTTTAATGATGCTAAAATTTATATTTAGTGCGCTATTTTCTTTAAAATATGACCCTGTTTGCTTTCTAAATACAACAAAATTACTGCTTTACCTTCTGTTCAAATAGTTCCACAGATAAATCGAAGTCACATTTCATACTACTTGAAAAAAAGCTGTTTTTACTGTAGGAATGACAACTTCCCAATGTAATTTTCTATTGTCAACATTGCATTACACTTGTTTAGCTCGCGCATGCGCAATAAAAAAGATAGGACATGTTTCCGCTTGAGTAAGACTTCTGGTATTAGTGAGCTTAAGCAAGTGACGTTTTTGACAACACGAACGGCATGAGTAACGTCAGAAGACTGGGTCAAGGGCTGTGATTGGTGAAAAACGTCAACTTTACTTCCGGTCGACGTCCGTGTTGTCAAAAACGTCACTTGCTTAAGCTCACTAATATCTCTTCTGTGCCCTGGCGAAAACCAAAACCGGAACTTCAAAAATCTTGTAGTTTGCCGGAAGTAAACTTAATAAAAATGCTGACTCTGCATCTTTTTTTGCAAGGAGTGAACTTTAAGAATTTCTCGAAAGAAATAATGTTTTACATGCAAGATAAACATTAATTCGTTCTGGTTATTTCACCATTAAATGTTTTAATGATTGACCAAATCAGAAAACTAAAGGATCATCTAAATGTTTCAATTATGAAAGCTGTTCAAGTTGATGAATCGAAGGATACAATGTGTAGTTTGGGAGAGTCATTGTATACGGACAGCAATCAATTTGAATTTTTATTATAATCGACGAAATATACAGACAATTTAAAAGCAATTGTTGTGGACGAAGCCCAATCTTATTAGTGAATGGTGAGTGAGTGATACTGATATATTTGGTTGTTTCTCAATATTCTTTCTTTGCTATATTAATGGTTATCTGCAAGACTGTACACATTCAGACAACATATATTCTGTTTAATACGTCCGGTCTAAACGCTGCATTTTACATGTGCCAAGTCTAGAAAAGTTTGTTCAACCTTTTAAGTGCTACCAAATTATTTTACTCAGCTTAACATGCCAGATGATTGAGTGTACTGATCAATGTGAGAGTACTACTGCTCAATGCATGGGTTAATCAGATTATCTATTGTACTTTACTATCTTACTGTCTAATGTCAGACAATTTTGCTCATCAAGGGGAGAGTGGGTATAATTGCAAAGTAATTACTTTGCCACTTTGGACAAATGTATAAGTTACATATGTTTACTACGTACCGGTATGTACATAAATTCAACATTTAAATCAAAATGTCAAACTTTATTATTTGAATCAAACTTTATTATTTGAGTCAAACCATGTAAATTCACATTAGATTTGGCACATGTAAAATGCGGCATTTAGACAGAGACAATGAGCATAAAAACCTGAAATATTATGTGCATCCCACCCACTCACCCTTGCCTCCCCCCCCCCCACCTTAATCTTGGTATCCCCAGATAATGATTGTTTGTAGGATATACAACTACCTGTAAGGTATGGTGTGACTGCATACTACAAGCTAGTATCATATTCAGTTTAATACATATATATGACTTGAAATATGTATTTTCTTGCCAGCCATTTTCAATCATAAAATTATCCATGTTGCTGTTAAATTATGATTGGCCTAATATTTTTGCCTAAAGATTGTTTTAATTTATAAACATTGTACTACTACTTTAGGAAGGATTTCAGGCCTTGCTATGAAAGGATTGGTATATCGGGAAGTTTGTTTCTTCATCAACTCAGAGAAAGAAGTTGCATCAACTCAGAGAAAGAAAGAAATTTCATCAACTCAGAGAAAGAAAGAAATTACATGAACAAAATAAACAATTTTGTGTCATTGATATAAATAATGATTTATTCTTACAATTTCCTCTATGAAAATTTGGTGTGTTAATAAAGATACTGTAAAAAATAAATAACAGCTTTATGGTGCATCCATGCTGTGCTTTAATATTGCAGTGCATGGTGTAGGAAATGGAGGTGTGTGGGTACCAGTGTGCTTGTGTGTGGAGGCCGGATGCTCCAGGAGTTCCCCGACAAGGAATATCAGGTTTCCCGACAAGGAATATCAGGTTCCCAACAGGGGGCTATAATCTTTCAAACAGTAAAATTATTGTTTTGTATGTTCAACTTATGCTCACACATGAAAATGTTGGCTCTCATGAAATGGTGCAGAATTTATTGTCTGTAACAGTGCATTTACAAGCACTACAAAACAAGGTCATTACAAAACATAATTTTTCCCAGTACAAAGCAAAGTTGCAGTATTACTATTAACAATATAATTTGTCAACTGTAAAAAACATTGATAGCCTATAAATTAAGCTATATATTGCATGAAATTTAAGGCAAAACAAGGTGGAAGAACTAACATTTCCAGCTATTATATTAATCACTTTGTCATTATTAAATAGTATTAAAATACAATATGTCATTATTAAATACATTTAGTATAAAATACAATATTTTTACATAAATTAAGAGCCTTTGATGAAATTGATATAAAATCAATAAAGTATGTCTATTAAATATAGTATATTATAAAATAATTTATATTTTATAATATACTATATTTAATATAATATTATGTATGACATGGACCCCTCTTGCATTGAACAACCACACAGACACTCATTCACGATCAGGATTTTCTCATTTGTAATTGAAAGATGCAAGACATCACTCACAATTTTTGTAGATTTGTACAATTATAAACGGTACAGTCTCTCGCATAGCCTTTCGCCTGTCTTTGTTTATACTCTGTATATAATTAAATCTCGTATATAAAATGTCCCTTCGGCTTCGGCGATTTCAATCTTTAAATAATCCAATGTCCAATTTTGTGTAGCTTTTTAATACATTGTGACACAACATCCAACATCTTTTATATTAAAAATAAAATTTCCATTGATAGACAGCAGATTTCAACGACCAAAACGACTCTTCGTTTCCTATGAAGAGTTAATACACTCCTATCTACTCCTATAGTCAGCCATATTTATTAGTAAAAGTTCGTGTTCAATTTCCGCATTCCATTGTTTTCATGCGACCAATCAAATCACTTCTCGTTTTGGTTTTCGCCAGGGCCTCCGGCAACGCAGTGTCAGCCGTGAGGCCCTGGGACCGAGGATGGATTCGAAGAGAAGATGGGTTCCCCACGCTCTTCTCAGGAAAAAATGTGACTGAATGACTTCATGCATGTATACAGTTTATTAGTTGATGTTTTGCAGACCTCGGTCAGTCATCAGGTCACAACTCGCAAGCCAGAAAGGAATTCATACATCTCGTAAATCCGCAATATTCTTTATATATATGAATAGGGCAATGCTAAGGGCAATTGTACATTGAAGTGGAAATATTTCAACTGTCAAAATCATTTGCCTTTAATAATAACTGCTTTACTGGCTATAATTATACTGCCATTGGATTGCACATAGGTAATAATACTAACGATTTACAATATCATCGCATACATATTTAAAAGTGCCAAAGACAAAGTCACAATAACGGTGTACTATTTGTAATTGTAGACTAGCTGGCAATAATACAATTTGCCTGAAGATATCTGTCAATAGGAGATTAGTTCTGCACTTTAAACACCTCTGAAAAGAAACGCAATTGTGTTTCGGTTATTTTCTCTATGGTTGCCAATGCACGCGATTTACCGTTACGTACATACATGTAGTCGCTAATACGACTACGACAAGCCCCCAATGTAATGTGGGTATAATTCTTCAATACATGAATGTAAAGTTGTGTTCCCCATGTTGTATAACACTTAGTGAAACCCACCTATATAATACCAGCCTGTGCATCAGTTGGATGCATAAACACCCAAGATGCATGGCAAACACAATCTGACACAATCTGTACAGGTAGAGCACTCGTTTTTTCTCTTGCGTCTTTCCTTTTGTTTTTAAGGCGAACAACAAACTCGAATGCGTTCTGGTGATGTTCACTCCTGCTATCTGAACCGAAGACTATTCCCGGATTGCAGCCTCATCGCTTGATTATGAACTCTAAAACATTCTAACCTATGAACTGTCTATATGTATTGTAATGTTCCTGCATGAATTGCGAGGACGAGGTTTTACTGAGGTTTAACCAGTAGTTTATAACGCTCAGAAGTTTTTATAATCCAGTTTAAACAATGGCAAATTCAAAATATAACCTAACTTGGATACTTGCAGGAATAAAATGGCTATAAACACTTTATACTGGTTGTAGAAAAAGCAGCTAGTTCAAAATGCCAGCCCACTTGTAAACCAGCAGAGTAAAAGGGTAAAAACACTATGCTACTATTATATATAACCCTCGCTCCGACGTTATCGTTTGCAGTCTTAGGTATGGTGCTGTTTACCGTGATGCTGATTCTTCTTACACTTGTAAAGATAGAGCTATGTGGGGAGCTGCGGGTGGTCTTGGCCCTACCCAGGTTTTCCTGTACTGCAGGTTTTTTCCTGGCCTCCCTGATTACCCAGCCTTAGCATAAGGGTCAGCATCAAGTGAACAGCATTCTCTAGTGAACCTCGCGCCTTTTGACTTCGTTAAATTGACATAGCCGGACTTGGCCGCGTCGGCAATGAACTGAAACGGGTCTGCAATTAGTTCTTTCATATAAAAACAACAACAAAGTTCAAACATTTAACGAATCTGCCTAATATTGACATGCTAAACGCAAAGCAAAAAACAATAATTTTATTCTTTAACCACCCCTTTTTTCACTTTATTGCCGACCCGGTCGACTCTGCGCTGCTTCCCGTGGCGGAAACGACAACCTATACTTCGTATAGATTGTCATTAATGGCAGGGAAGTGCTGTCCGATGGACAACACTTCACCACGTGAAGCGCAATCACTGCTCATTCAGGTCGCACTGAAGACCTGAATGAGCAGTCCTAGAGACTCGATGTGGTCAGTCAGGTTATCAGTTGCGGCCCGGGGTAATGTGCCCTATACGAATAGTTGTTCACCAGTCCAACTAGGTCTCAATGTCGACGGCCTGACGGATCTGAACGGGGGTTCGCCTGTTCCCCTGTTATCTAGAGGTCCGCCTGTTCCTCTAGAACAACCTACAGTTTTTGCGTGTATCCTCAGCCAGCTTTGAGTACCCTGGGTAATGTGCCCTATACCAATAGTTGTTCACCAGTCCAACTAGGTCTCAGCTCGCTGAACGACATGCACAGAGCCAAGCATGCCCTCTGCAGTCTAGAGATTCGCCTGTTTCTCTAGATAAAACTTAGGTTAGCGAGAGCCTCTAGACAGTTCGGCCGGAACTGTTTTCGAGCACTTCTCTGCCCAAAATATATGCCACAAAAATGTGTTCCAAGTTATTGTTGTCTTGCTTAGTTGCCAGTTGTTCGATTTTAACTATCTGTCTCTTTTCCAACATATTCAACTTCATTAATTCGAATTTTCTATACAATGCAATCATAAAACTGGCTGTGAAATTTCATTGCATAAACACATTAATTATTCTTGCTCGTCGTACTCATCGGTTTTAAACAGGGCGCTTATATAGAGGGCGGTGAAACGCGCGATGTCGCGCTGATCGATGTGTGATGCGGAAAAGGACTGGCACGAGCGTGCTTTTCGGCAAAAGTTGACAAAAAGCGTGATTTTTCCTGCTGTTGTATTTTTGCTGTTTTTTCATTAACTACGAAATTCTTGAGGATGTTTTTGCACTGTAACGACGAAGTAATAACTAGTGTATCGTACGAATGCTTGTTTGGCCTGTATAGTTGAATTTTGAAAGACATATTGAGGATAATGAGTCGGGCTTTTGATGACTTCAATGAAGGGAAATTTTCAAAACAGCATTTGGGCATGTTATCAAGTCGTCCAAACTTCGAAATTCAGTTGATGGTAAAGATTATAATTATGTGCTTATCTCCAAAAGTTTTCATAAAACTCGGAGTTGAGCAATTGAATACACAGCGTTGGAAAGTGAGGTATTTTTGTGTGTTAAATTTTGCCTAATTTATAGACCATTATTTCGCTGCAAAAAAATAAACAACAATTGTATTTTGGCCATGTAGTGATTTTTGGTTATTATGTTAATAATTTTCTACGACTTTTAAGGCATTCAATTGAAGTAATTCTGAGCCGTAAACATATTTTACTTCCTGGCTTTTGAATCAAAATACGACTCGCTCGGACGTTTGTTGAGCGCAATAGTCGAAAAAGTTTTGTCCCAACTTTGATTTTTTTTGACCGGCTGGCCAAGACAACTTCTCGTAAGGATTCGTTAAAAAAATACAAATTCAAGTTGAGCATTTCTTGATTTTCAACTGAAAAGATCAACTAGTGGCTAAAATTAATTGTGAATTGTATTCTATCGAACGTGAACGATACGTGTACATCCGAAGAGTTTTAAAAACCTTTCACGTCATGCTTCTTGCGAAAGCAACCGTTCGTAAGCTTTCGCAAGCGTTTTGAGCAAAAACTCTAAAATATTGGCAGTATTACCTGAAAATACAATAACAGAATCTACTAAATTATCGTATAACATCGGAATTTTACCCCCAATATCTATTTCTTTATCAAAACTTGACTACAAAACAGTCAAAACTTCCAGCTCAGTTTTCCCGCCATATTTATCCATGCCATATAGGACAACGTCGCCATAGTAACCACAACAAACTCGTTACCAGTTCATTGCATCACACATCGATCGGCGCGCCTTTTTACTTTTATTATGTTTGGTTTTAAAGTTATTTGCTGGGCTTTGCATGCTCTTTATTATTAAACTCCGCAAGTTGTTAACATTTTCATTCTCTATGTTTCGATTACAGTTAATGCCACCACGTTTTGTAGTGAGATTTAGAGATATAGGTAGTTGGTTTTTAAAAAACGTGCATTCTGAACATGACTAACAATCACGTGTAAGCACGGTAATAATTAGTCTGCGCACAGACTGTCTCTTCCCCCCCGTGGTGGAAGGATTACAGTCTGCGACCATTTGTCACTAATGCTGTACAGTGACGTAGACGTATAAATAGATATAATATTGTGCACTTCAGCACTTTAATGGCTTTCTAATTTTATTATCCAATCAGGTGCGTTACTTTAAATAAAACTTATATTATATAAACAAGGTCAATAGACAATAGACAAGGTCAAGCAAAACAATACAACGAAATCGAAATATAAACTCGCAAAAAATATGCCAGTTTTGTAAATTCTACCAAATTTATTCATCCCAAAAGATTAAATGCTCTTTTGTTTGGTAATGTCTTTCCTAACAGCACCCAGAAACTTTATGTAATCGGTAAAACCGGTATACTTGTCTCGAAATTAGCTAAGCAAATTTATGCAAGTATAATTTTGAAACGAACCAATGAAAAACTGCCGATCATATTTCGTCGGTAGCTGTACGGCATTAGCGTGAGTGTATCTAAAAGTCGAGAGTCGAGAGTAAAAGTCGAGAGTCGAGAGTAAAAAGTCGAGAGTCGAGAGTAAAAAGTCGAGAGTCGATCGAGAGTAAAAAGTCGAGAGTCGGCAAATGTCATCAGAAACAAAGTCAAAATATTTTTATTTTTTAACCACGTTTAACACAATCTATATATATAGCTTTACATAGCCATTCCGTAACAAGTACCAACGGCTGAAATACAAACTTTCCAATAAATATTGCTACAACAGTCAATAATCAGTGGCGGAAATTCACTTTTTCCGGTGTGGGGGGGGGGGCAAAGCCTCCTAAATTTCCGACAAAACTTTGAAATTTCCGACGTACCCCCCCCCCCCAATTTGCACTCGAAAAGACTGTTTTTAGCCCACTTTTAGAGGGTCTGTCTGAATGGGGTTAACTGACTACTGACATTTGGCTGAATTTTTGACTGACAACTGACAAAATATCCTAACTGACAACTGGGAAATGATGAAAAAGTGATGAGTCAGCATTTTGCAGTAACTGACTACTGACAGCTTGCAATATATCGCACTGACAACTGACAACTGGCTTAAATTTTAGCTGACAACTGACACCCAAAGACCCCCATTAAGACCCTCCTTTTAGATCAAAATTTCCGAAAATTCGTCAATTTTCCGGAAGGTGGGGGGGGGGGGCGGCCCACCAAGATTTCCGCCAACGTCAATAATAATAACGTGATAACAAAAACAAAAAAGATTGTATAAGAAAATAATATCGCATTTGATGCCTCAATCTTGCTAAATGTTTTCACATGTCATTTCATTCTAACTGACACATAAACTCCGCTGAATTTTGACAGCCATCTCCAGGCTTGTAACTAAAATGTCACTTATTCATTAACGTACGTTTATATCAAACGAGAGCGTATTAAGAAATCCACGTTGATCACAATCTAACGATTTATACAATTGTGAATTCATAAATACGAGCCAGTAAAAATAGGATTCTTTTGTCGTATGTGCGACTCTATCGGGTGGTAATATGTCTCGCACGTAATTGTAAAGTCTAGTATTTATATGTAGCTTCACTATGAGTAATTTTTCGCGGAAATAGGTGCATGTAAAGCGGGAAGGATGGACAGTAATATATAAGGAAGCGATAAAACTAGTTATTAGATAATAGTTATTTGATTATTGAATGTTGTGGCTAAATTTTTGCGAAAGTTTTTGTTTTATATTGTACTGGATTATTCCTTTGATTGCATGTATATGCCTCTTGTTTACTTTAATTTCGAGAATTTCAGCATACTAAATTATGTTTCGCAAATATTGTTTGCTTTATGTTCCGATACACAGGGAATGAAAGGTTCAGCCGTCATAGGCGTACGGGCGGGAAAAAACAGGGAGCCAGAAAGAAATTTACCCGACTTTTACCCACTGAATAAAATTTTCCGTGTATCTAAATTTCCAAAATTGTCGTTGGGAAGTAGACAAAATATTTTCCTATTTGTCGATTCCTCGTTACTTTTACATATTTCTGGTATTTTCAAATACCATATTGCATATACTGTCTTCTTTTTAAATTTATTTCCCCCAATTTTTGGCCGAATTTATTTTGACTGGGGTGCGGGACTGCCTCCCTCCCCCCCTCGCCCGTACGGCTATAATCAGCCGTTGTTACGGATCGCTTATATATTGTGTTACTGTAAAAGTATTTTGACTTTGTTGTTTCTGATGACATTTGCCGACTCTCGACTTTTTACTCTCGATCGACTCTCGACTTTTTACTCTCGACTCTCGACTTTTTACTCTCGACTCTCGACCTTTACTCTCGACTCTCGACTTTTACTCTCGACTCTCGACTTTTACTCGCGACTCTCGACCTTTACTCTCGACTCTCGACCCTCGACTTTTAGATACACTCCATTAGCGTCGAATGACAGCAGACTGTAATCCCGCGCGGGAGCGGGATGCAGTCTGCGAGCAGACTAGGTAATAATTAACCGTGGTGCAGTGCTTCCATTTTCAAAATAAAAATTCCCCATTTTTGACATCAAAATTTCTCAACATTCCTTTGAACATAATTTGCACTTTTGTCCCAATGGCCTCGTTGTACAGTGTGTCCCAAAACTTGGGTAGCCTTTTTTTTTGGGACACACTGTATCCCCATGTTTTGTGCATGTTACTAGTATCTTTTAGCCATCCACTGCTCACCACCACAGG